CACGCTTTTACTGACCAGCCCTGTGTGGTTTTATTCGCCTGGGGCAGTTCATGCTTAGAGCCCCCACTTAGTCTCCCTGGTTACCAGAGGCGAGACCTCTAACCTCCTCCCCGGTTGGTGCAGATCAGTTTCCTCCGTCTTGGAGCTGTCCTAGCACCGGGGTCAGGGGGGACCAGGCCGCCACCTTTCACCATCAACTGCACCCTCTTCTTCTGCTGCGATTTTGCACTAGTTTCAGACAGGTCTCTGGCTGGGTGGGTGTGGAGGTCAAGGGGGAAGCAAGGAGTTCTCCTGTGGGTCTGATCCCACTTCACCACCTGGCCTGGTGGGCCGGCGCCCTCCCACGCACCCTATTGTTTGCTTTGCACTCTTCAGAGAATGCCATCTTATTTCCCGATCGCCTTGTTTATCCTTTTATGAGAGTTCCACGTTGCTCCTCTGCGGATTCTCAATGCTGTCCTTGTAGTGGGGAGATCCACTCGCACGTAGGAGACCAAGAACTGTGTCTCCTTCTCTGGAAGCAGAAGTCCAGAGAGTTACCTCTACTCTGCCATTTTTCTGAATCCCCTAGTTAGCTCTTGTATATAGCTACTCATAGCATCAAATTGTTAACTAAAGCTCCCATAATGTTCACTTAATCCAGGAATACAATGTTTTTTTTTTTCTTTTTTTATTTTAGCGTATTATGGGGGTACAAGTGTTAAGGTTACGTATATTGCCCATGCCCCCCTCCCACCTCGAGTAAGAGCTTTAAGCGTGTCCATCCCCCAAACGTTGCACATCTTACTCGTTGTGGTTGTATATGCCCATCCCTTCCTCCACCCTCCCACCCTCCTGACACCCGATAAATGTTAATCCTATATGTCTACTTAGGTGTTGATCTGATAATACCAATTTGCTGGTGAGTACATGTGGTGCTTGTTTTTCCATTCTTGAGATACTTCACTTAGTAGAATGGGTTCCAGCTCTATCCAGGAATATACAAGAGGTACTATATCACCATTGTTTCTTAAAGCTGAGTATTATCATGAATACAATGTTTTGAGATGCCAGTAGATACAGGGTGTCCAAAAACTATAAAAGCAATTATTCTATGTCTCTTATTTGGAGAATTCTAGAAATTTTAAGGACCAAAGTTAATGCCTTTAGCCATTTAAGTCCAATTTCTTGACAGATTTTTTCTTAAAGTTTATTTATATTGAGAATTTTATGTACACTTGTTCTGGTGGTTAAGGATGGTATGAAATTTTAACGAGTACTCAACTCCACAGTTTTTGTCAGCAAGTGGTTAATTTCTGCTAAAAAATGAGTTTCTTGCTCTGATTCAGTGTTTAAAAGAATGCCAAAATGGGGAAAATCTCAGCTATTAATTTCTTTGCCACTATCATGGTGTCAACATAGGAAGTTGAAAGTAATTTAGTCCATCCACTAAATATGCAGACAATAAACAAACAGAGGAATAGCCTAAAGCTGGAAGTAAATCTCTAAAATTCATTTGGAGTGTCATTAGGTGCAGTATGTGCCTTGGAGGATTCCCTAAGTTATGTTGATTTCGTCCAGAGTGAAATTTACAAGTAGTGCATTGGGAATTCATCTGGTGAGAAATTTTGTGAATGCCAGGGCAGAACGAATTGTCTTATAGTCTCAACTATCCCGGACTGCACCTATGTCCATCTAATGGGAGATAAATGCAAGCCAAAAAGTCAAAGTTGAGTGAACTGTAGGAATTCTGTGTGGTCCAATGCATAATATATTTGATAATTGTTTAGCACTCATCTGTATTGATTTATTTTTTTCATATTGTGAGGCATTTGCCTGATTGTCAATAATATCAGTTAAGGATAAAGGCCAGGCGCGGTGGTTCACGCCTATAATCTTTGCACTCTGGGATCGCTAAGGGTCAGGAGTTTGAAACCAGCCTGAGCAAGAGCGAGACCCCCATATCTACTATAAATAGAAACAAATTAATTGGCCAACTAAAAATATATTGAAAAAATTAGCCGGGCATGGCAGTGCATGCCTGTAGTCCCAGCTACTCGGGAGGCTAAGGCAGCAGGATTGCTTGAGCCCAGGAGTTTGAGGTTGCTGTGAGCTAGGCTGACGCCACGGCACTCACTCTAGCCAGGGCAACACAGTGAGACTCAGTCTCAAAAATAAATAAATAAATAAATAAATAAATACAGAGCATCTTTTAAGATTGCCATCCTCTTCAGAAGATTTTAAATTAAGATAGCTTTTCATTAGAGAAGGGAGGAAGTTTGAGGTTTGGTCTGAAGGTGGGAAAATAAAAACATTTTTATAATTACTCTTTATCCTTTCAGTGTCACTTCCCTTGTCCTATGTCACTTCTCAATCTTGAGAGGCACAGAGACACCAAACACTATGGCTATTTCCTGCTGAATTGGGGCAAAGATTGCTGACTAGGATATGAAGAGAGAAAGTATATATATAGCATGGTGCTTGAGATATTCATGAGTCCCAGGCCTGGTGCCATAGCTCTCAACCATCACTATAATAGTTGCTTTTGTCACTGCTGTCTTATAACATTTTAATATATATTTGATTGTAATATAAAGTATGAGCAAAATTAGCAAGACTCACATGTCTAACTTTAGCAATCTAGAAAGCATGGACTGGATTTCATGAGAAATCCTTGAAAGCAAAGAAGAATATCAGTCAGGGAGATTTGTTGTCAGGAAAAGATTCAGAGTTTTGTCCAAACTGTAGGCAAGTAATAAAAACTCAAAAACAATGAACAAAGATTGAATCTAATAACAGCTGTACTTATGAAACATGATTTTTATCTCTCTAGTTTTCCATTTTTACCAAGGATAAGTCATAGTAACCAACTTAATTGGAAAATAAATTTTAGTGTTATTATAATTGGCCTGATTGTTTGCATAAAGTGCAACAAGAATGATTTCTGGTCATATATACTTTTAAAATTGGCTTTGGTGGAATTTTTATATAAAGAATCTCAGATTAGACTTAAATTTTTTTTTTTATTTCAGCATATTATGGGGTACAAATGTTTAGGTTACATATATTGCCCTTGCCCCACCTAAGTCAGAACTTCAATTGTCCATGCCCCAGATGTGCACCTCACCCATTAGGCGTGTATATGTCCATCCTCTCCTCCCCCTCCCATCTGCCACCCAATGAATGTTACTACTATATATGCACTTAAGTGTTGATCAGTTAATGCCAATTTGATGGCAAGTACATATGGTACTTGTTTTTCCATTCTTGTGATACTTCATTTAGTAGAATGGACCCCAGCTCTATCCAGGATGATACAAGAAATGCTAGATCACCCTTATTTGTTGTGGCTCAGTAGAACTCCATGGTATACATATACCACATTTTATTAATCCACTCAGGTATTGATGGGCACTTGGGTTGTTTCCACATCTTTGCAGTTATGAATTGTGCTGCTATAAACATTCTAGTACAGACGTCTTTTTTATAGACAAATGTCTATTCTTTTCTGAAGATTTCTGTGGCTAGAAGTCTTCTCATTAGGCTCATTCTGCCCCCATGATTTCTTATATAAAATGATATTGTGGAAATAGATTTAAATGTTAATTTCAATAAGATTATCCTACTTCTCCCCTGAGATAGAGGGAAAGCTAATTTTTTATTCCATTTCCTTCTCCCTCTTCTTGCCATTCAGGCATTGGTTTTGGTAGTTGGTATTTGAAAGGAATTAGTTTTTTCCCTAAATATTATTTTTAGGTGAAGATTTTCTGTGTCCTGAATAAGGAAGTTTATAAGGGTTTAAATTATAAAAATCTATAGCTACTATACATGTTCTAAATATGAGAGAAAAATTCGTTATCTTCAAAACAGACTGTAATGGTTCTTGAGATTTTATTTTATTTTGACTATAGGGTTCTCTCTCTCTCTCTCTCTCTCTCTCTCTTTGCAACAGGGCCCAAGTGTCATGCTCAGGTTTTCTCATTAGAGTAGTTTATTTTTCAGTGATAAGAATGCATGGATAATTTGCTATGAAAGGACACACATTCCTAGAAAGAATGGTGTAATTCTCATTGTATGTTCACATAGCAATAACTACTAATTTAATTTTAAAGACAGGTTCTAGCTTCTTCCTAGGACCATTGAACATTTAAATATGTCTTCTTGTACATAATTTTTACAAATACCAAATGCTGAATAACAAATATATAGCTTAATTTCTTGTCCGTGGCTCACACCATTATATTGTACCACAAAAGTGGTACCATGTAGCAAAAGTGTGTGCTGTGACACTTTTTGAAAATCAGAATGACAACACAAAATCAAAATATTCCTTTTCTTCAGCTAAGCTACAACCAATCCTTTAAATAGAAAGATATAATGCAATAAAAATATATTTCTAACTTAAACATGAAAGTACATTACTGTAAGACTTGATCAAGCAGTGTTCCAAATAGCACTTGTTTGGTAGGAGTTTTTGGTAGATTGAAAAAGTTCAAGAAAACTTTTTACTTATTATCTCTGGCAGAAGTGGCTTTTCCCCTACTCCTTTACTGCCCCCCTTCAAAAAAAAAAAAGCACAACAAAAGAGAATGAACAAATTTCAGAATTTTATGAGAGGTTGTTTTCAATATTTACAGATCACTAGGTAGCAGTCTTTCAAGAAGCAATAAACAAGAATGAGAGGGGTTCAACTTTGAATTTATTTTGATTCAATGGGCTTTTGCTAAGGCATTGCTTGGTACAACATTCTGCACACTTGGGAAGGCCGAAGGAAAAATAGTTACCTTCACCTCTCTGTAATCTCAGTAATGATTTGGGAAGATGACACAAATGTTAACCATTATAGAATTTGTATCATATATAATAGGAAATAATTTCATGGATTCAAATACAGGAATAGGTTCTCCCTCTTTTAAAAATGAATTAGAATCCCTGCACTTAAAATTTAGAACTTGGTAAAGTCTTACAATCTTTATTATGAAATGCAACATAACAATATATTCTATATTTCTTTTTTTTAGTTATAGATGATGCAACTTGCAAAACATTCCTGAAGCATGAAATAAGAAGAATAATATTTAAATGTAATATAATCATTATGCCTGTTTATTCATCAAAGTATCTTCATTCCACACTCTTTTTTCTGTTCTCATATCCAACGCCAAATATTGAGTAAAGTGTGTAGGAAGAGATAAGTGTTTTTCATATTCATTATTCTTTGCAATGGGAGTACTAAGGTTCAAGAACATCTATTTTGGAAGCTTTCTTGAGTCCAGTGGAGTATCGCAGACAGTGTTCACCTTCCTTCTAATTCCATGTTGCTTTACTCTGGATTTCAGAGCACCCCCTCTTATCCCAAATGTGCCTTTCCTCTGGGCCTGGAATGCCCCAACTGAACTTTGTACTGGCAGGTTTGATGAGCCACTAGATCTGAGCCTCTTCTCTTTAGTAGGAAGCCCACGAAGAGATGTCACAGGGCAAGATGTTACAATATTTTATGTTGATAGACTTGGCTACTATCCTTATATAGATACAACAGGCAAAATTGTGAATGGAGGAATTCCCCAGAATGGATCCTTAAGAAAACACTTGGTTAAAGCTGAGAAAGACATTCTTTATTACATGCCAACAGACAATGTGGGCTTGGCTGTCATTGACTGGGAAGAATGGAGGCCCAATTGGGAAAGAAACTGGAAACCTAAAGATATTTACAAGAATCAGTCTATTAAATTGGTCCAGCAACATAATACACACCTTAGTGTCACAGAGGCTGCCAAGATAGCCAAGGTTGATTTTGAAAATGCATCACAGAGTTTCATGGAAGAGACTTTAAAATTGGGAAAATTACTTCGGCCAAATCACTTATGGGGTTTTTATCTTTTTCCTGATTGTTACAACAACAATTATAGACAACGTGGTTTCAATGGAAGTTGCTTTGATACAGAAATGAGAATAAATGATGATCTCACCTGGTTGTGGAAGGAAAGCACTGCCCTTTTCCCATCCATTTATTTAAGCACCGACATGTCTTCTCAACAAGCTGTGCTATTTGTGCGAAATCGAGTTCATGAGGCCATTAGGATTTCCAAAGTACCTGATGCTGACAGGCCACTTCCAGTTTTTGTATATTCCCACCTAGTTTTTACTGATCTAATTTTCAAATTCCTTTCTCAAGTAAGTAAATCAACATAGGAGGGCAATGAAACAGTGTCTACAAAAAGTAGTGAAATTTAATACTATTTTTGAAGGGGGTGGAATTTAGTTTTAATGTCATTTAGCAATGTGCATGCCAGTAGTTGTACATCATTATATGAATGCAAAATAAGAGTATGTTTAAACATTAATGTAATCTCATGATCTCTTAGCATGCATAGAGAATTAGGTAGTATACACAGTGTATTAACTCACTTTCCGTTTTTTCATTCATGGTCCTGCTCTCTTGTCAATAGAAGTAATTAAAACAAAATAGTCTCTGTTTCATAATAAGGCAATAGTTGTATAAAAGATAGAAACAAATTGTAGAGAAATAATTAAATTACACCTGTTGAGTCATCATGCTTAGCTTTGGTGTTACTGTCCTATGTAAAACACTTTCGTTTTATATTTATCTGCTAACTTTTTCTGTCATGTTTGCCAGGATGACCTTGTGCATACACTTGGTGAAAGTATTGCTCTGGGTGCCTCTGGAGTCGTAATATGGGGAAGCTTAAGTGTAATGCGAAGTATGGTAAGTTGAATTGGTAGGTAATATATGAAAATATTTCTACCTTTAATATTTTTGAGGATTTTTTTGGTATTGAATAAGGAAATAAGTACTATGCTTGGCATGTAGTAGTAAGTGTTCAATAAATACTGGGTGAATCAAAATATCTTGCATCTATGTGGGGGTTGCAAAGCAGGAAATATTGCACCTGTTTTCCAGTAATGAAACAAGTTCATTAAGATTAGTTGAATTTCTCTAGGCTACAGAGCTATTAAGTAGCAAAAAAAAAAAATAGCAAAGACTATGATCTATTTTCTGACATGATGTTTGGTGTCAGAAAATTGGTTTCTCTTCCTTTATTTTCATTCTTGTTTAATTTTCCGTATCAGATCTTTATCCCCCACCTCTTTAATCTTGTTGACACAATGCAAAAGTAAAGCTGCCATGTGGTCATTGCTGAGTTAGAGCTGAACTTTTGCTTCTGAGATGTATGTGGAAATACTAATGACACCATGGAACATGTCAAATGAAGCTCATGGCCCAGGGGTCCTATCCTAGGACCTGTAGAGAATAAACTTTTTACTTTAAGATCAGAGGAGACCTTTTGAGAAGGAACACATTCATATCTTGTCCTTTAGATAAAATAGCCATATTCTTACTTTATTTAAAAATACTTAATAGCCATTACATTTGTGAAATCTTCCAAGGTAATCTGAGCTCTTCTACCTATTTTCAGTAGTTTTTATGTTTCTAATTTTGATCTTCCAGAAAGGGAAACAACAGAAAATAGAAGTTCAGAGAAAGGTGTATGTCCCCTGGTAAAATCTTCTATACCTCAGAAAATTATTTTAAAACTATAATTCTACTAAGTATATTCCTAATTTTTATTAGTTGGTTCCCCAAATTAATAAACTCCTTTATCAAGAATTCTATTGTTTAAAAATTTAAAAATTCTCCATATTCTTTTCTTTCTTTTTTGTCTTTTAAAGAAAAATGAGAACTCCACCCTTACTATGAGGAAGAGTGAGTCAGGCATTCCTCAATGAACAGGAGCATATAACAAATTATTTAAATGTCACACTTGGATTTAATCTTTAATCTTAGATTCACATTCTACTACTATGCCTGCTAAATTATCTTCAGTACTATTCATACTAGGGACAGTCCTTCAACTTTAAAATGATTATTTTCTACTATTTTGAAATTGTCTGCTATAGACTCTGTTGTATATATACCTGCTACCTTTTCCAATTTATGATGATTTTGAATGCTAGTGCTATCATTATTTCCCTTCTTCTATGTCATTTGTGATCAATAAGGTAATGGATTACTTGTCATGTTTCCTCTGATTCATTGATAACTTGAGAAACCAGTAATTGCAGATTTATTTGCAGTTACTGGAACTGACCTTAAACAAGTGTAAGTAAACCATTTTCTTCCATTTCATTTTACTGGATCTAGTGGTGTGATAGAGCTAGCTCTACTGGGCCCAGCTTATAAGAACTGCTTGTTAAATATTCAGAATTTTGCAAGCTAGTTATTAAACACAGCCATTATTAAGAATCAAAAACTTAAAATAAATGATGTTAAAAACAAAGGTAATCAATTCTTAATATATCCATTATTTTGCTTCATTTTATTATTATCCATTCTCTTGAGATTATTTATATCTATTATGTCTGTGTAAGTGGAAATACTATGTAATGATATGCTAGTCTACACCTTATTGCCATACTGTGTAATGGTGGTGTACTCAATTCCCAATGCTGCGTTCAGTAATGTCAGGTTGGTAGCTTGATATTGGTCATGGTAGGAGTATTTCCACCACAGAGATATATGTATGGAGATATAACCAGGCCTTACCTATTAGAGAGCCAGTTATAAGATCTTTTTATAGACTACATCTTATGTTGGTTAATGGTTCTCAAATCATTCTCATCGCTTTACTCTTCTTTTTGCCAAACCCTGTCTCTGTGGAGTTGAGGAAGCAACTGCAATGTTATCTGAACCTGGTATATATTCTCACATCCTTGGTGCTGGGAACATAGTGTCGAAGAATATTGAAAATGTCCATGTACTCTTGAAGCTTCTGAGTGCTTAAAAACAGTACACAAGAAAAATATTTCATTTGATAAGTGCTATACAGAGAATTAAAATAGAGAGATGTGAAAGAGTCAACAAGAAAGATATTCTTCCAACTGTTGATCATAATTAGAAGGGCATTGCCTAATTAAAGCTGCCATCTCAATGACCAGATGAGTAAACCATGATGAAAATAAGAGGAAAGAGCATTCCAAGCACAGGGAATAGTAAATGCAGTTTAAAATGAACCTGCCATGCTAGTGAAATAATTCCTGTGTCTATGGTAGAGTGGGTATGGGAGGGTTGTACAAGAGGAAGGAAGGCTTATACCACATCAAGCTGTGTACAAATCAAGAGAAGTTGTTGAATTTTATTCTAATCACCATGCAGAGCTACTGGAAGTTTACCAAGATGGATAGTATATTAATTTTAAATTCCTTCCATAAAAATTATAATGAACTTAGTGACTTACGAACTAGAAATTTATTATCTTATAGTTTAGTAGGTTAGATGTTCAACATGGATCTCACTAGGCTAAAATCAAGGTGTCAGCAGGGCTGCATCCTTCCTAAGGGAGGATCCTCACTAGGCCACTTGGGTTGTTAGCAGATTCAGTTCCATGTGGTTGGAGCAATGAGATGTTCATTATCTGGCTGGATGTTGGCTAAAGGCCATTTCCAGCTTCTAGAGGCTGGTCCATTCCTTAGCTCATGGACTTCTTCTTCTCTTTCCAAAGTCAGTAAGGGTGACTTTGCATCTCTCTTCCTTCCTGTGTCTTACCTTTCTAACTCAGCTTGAAAAGTTTCTATATATTCAGACTCATGTAATTAGATTAAGCACGCCCAGGTAATTCAGGATAATCTCCCCTTTTTAAGGTCCATAGCCTTAATCACATCTGCAAAGTCCCTTTTGCCATGTAAGATAACATAGTCCCATATTCCAGGGGATTAGGGTATGAACATCTTTGGGAGGAAGTTATTCTGCCAACAGTAGATGACATCATCTCAATGAAGGTAACAAGAAGTAGATTCAAGCGGAAGCTGTTAAGATTTCTTGACTTGCCCCCCAACCTACCACCACCACTTCCTTTGGTCTGCTGAAGGATTAATGCAGCCAGTGCACTCAATGGAACTGTTGATCATAAATATAAGTGACCATCTTCAATGTTTTTAATAGCACAGTGTCCAGGCTTTAGAACATACCAATCTCAAAATGAATCATTTCAGTTACTCATCTCTCATATTCTGCCAAATTTGTAAAAGAGCTGCCATTATTCATCTGCAATTAGACTATATGTAACATTTACATAAACTACACTCGGTTGGACCTATTTAGTTGTTTTGAGTCAGCATTTTAAAAATCACTCTTAGATTCCCCAGAAAGATGGCTGACTAAATATCAGTTACCAGATCACCCCAGAAAGAAGAAAAAGTTTCAGGTGAAAAAGCATAGCCCAGGTGTAATTCTGAGGGAAAAGTGTCAGAACCTACCAAGTATACCATGGGAAGATTGCAGAGAAAAATAAGGAGCAAGGTTTTGGGAGAATTGATCTTTAAGGAGTTTGGAGTCCTATGGAAAGGGTAATTGGGGGTGTTTATTTTTCCTACCCATACATCTGCTACACCCAAACTGTCAAAGAGCTTCTATACTCTTACGAGCCCAAGTACTGTTGCCGTCAGCAAATTGAGAACCTCGTAAGAACAGAGCACCAGACTGCTCGACCACTCACTGTCGCTTTCCTCCACTGCAGACACAAGCTGAGGTTGTGGGCACCATACTGCTTGCCCACCCATTATGTGCCTTTATCCTGCCCTGCCTTTCAGTTTCCTTGTCACTGGACCCCCCACAAATACTTCCCAGCACCTGCTTGCACTGTGATAACCACGGAAGTCCAAAGCAACACAGGAGAACTGGGACAGAACTCCCTCGAGTTCTGTCCCATAGCATGGGCTGTCCCTGGGGGATGGGAAGATGCCATGAGCTACAAAGGTTTTTGGGATGAAAGAAAGCAAAACATGTGCTCTTCTCCACCTGAGAGCCACTGATGTGTGACCCAAAGTTGTCTTCACCCTTCCTAGTGGAGATGTAGGTGCAGAGAGGAGTCTGTGAGACAGGACAGTGTTCCCACTCCAGAATAAAGGCAGCACCAGAGACAGGGAAGGGACATGGAAATGGGGATTCTCCCATCCCCACTGCCCATTGCTGCAAATACAGTTGCGTCTGTTCCCAGGAGCCATTGGTGCCAGCATGCCCCAGGGCAGCCAGTCCCAAGTGGGTAAAGAGATGCTACACCTCCACTAAATCTGTGCTCACTGCACCAGGCTTTGCGTGGAGGGTGCTTCTAATATCCCTCACTTCATGTAGAGGCAGCATTTTTGCAGTTGCACTGACCAGGAAATCTCAGCCTTGGGGTTCCCATTTATGTAGATCCATGGGTAACATTCCCCAGCACCAAGTCAGACTGCAGTAGCCACAGGGGGCTGGTGGATCCCAGGGGAACTGTGTGATTTCCCCAGGGCTTGGACACTCAAGGCAGGCTGCTTTCAGGTGAGAGGAGATTGCAGCATGCCAAGGAGCCTTTCAGGCAAAGGGCTCTCCTCCATTCAGTTTCTCTTCCTCCCCTCTTCCACTCACTGCTGCTGACCACAATGGCAGTTCCTGCACGAGGCTGGCATTTATATGAAAAGGAAGGTTCAGCCAGGATACTTGGGAGTGGCTGCCACCTCTCTGATGGTTTGTCTATGACACTCAGTCTTACATGGAGAATGGGGCTCATGCCTTTTCCTTTAAAAACCCAAAGTGGACTGACTGAGGGTTGTTTGGACTGTGAGCTCCTGACTTGTTGGCCTTCTCCAGGTCTGCTAGCCTGGCTACTCCTGCAGATAAGGGCATACCCTGCTCACCCCATGGCTGAACCACAGGAGAGTGACATTTAGCCTACTTGAGTGCTCTGCAGGCAGCACACCTCTCCCTGTCATGTGTGAGGGAGCTTGAACTCAGGGGCCCAGTGGACAGTTCTGTAGGCCTGATCCCATACCCCCAGGACTCAGCTGCATCATTCAGTGGCATGGAACAGACACTTGTGAACATATCTCAAGTGGAGAGTGAGCCCACATGGACAGAACTGAGAAGAGAATGTGGTGTGGGTCCATGCTGCATAGCTGCCTTTTGAATGGCCTGGTTGGTTTGGCTTGCTGCCAGGGGCCAGACACACCAGAGAGGCATCTACCAGACAAAAGGAGTGGGAGTGAGCACTACCACCAGCTGAACTGTGAATTCCAGACTTCCCCACCCCCACAAGCAGGTTCTTTGGCATGGTGGGGATACCTCCGCCCCTACCTAGAGACTTTCCCCAGTGGGCTGGGAGCTGACTCCCAACCCCAATTGAGGCAGCACTTTTGCCTACCTTTGGGGTGTCTGGACACAGTCTCACCTGACCTAGCCTTGCCTGCCCATCTGCCACTTTAGTGGCAGAGCACAAGAAGGGATCCCCTGGGAGTTTCAGGACTCTTCCCACTGTCTGGGACATCCAAGTACATCTCCTGATTGACTAGGGCTAGGCATAGGCCCCACAAACACCACTGCATCTGGCACTCTCCTGCAAACACCACCTACTGGAAGTGAGGTCAACTTTAACAGCCCATTATATTTACTGATTCAATTGCATAGGGCTTGGATGACTCTTGCCTGCAAATACCACCTAGTGACCTTGAGATTAAACTGGATATCCCAATAAAATTCATACTATTAGAAGTGCACAGGGCTGGGGAAAGATATTAAATTTCAGAGACTTTGGTCTCCTCTTCTCAAAAGGAGGCAGAGAATATGCCTATGCATATAGCACACCACTGCTGCAGCCTACATATAACCAGCATTTGAGAAAACTCCTATACTAAGGCTACCTATAACCAACGTATTCATTCACAACCTAGGTTGCTCTGAGAGTACTAAGCAAAGCCAAAGATCCTTATCTAACATATGCTATAGTCACACTCTTAGGAGGGAAGAAAAAAGGCCCCATCTAAACAAAAAAAATTCAAAATCAAGAAGTAACAACCTCCCCAGATGATCAGTGCAAGAGCTCTGGCAGTATGAAAAAACAGAGTGTAATGACCTTTCCAAAGGATCACACCTGCTCTCTAGTAATGGATCCCAACCTAAGTGAAAATACTGAAATGATAGATAAAGAATTCAAAATATGGATTGTAAGGAAGCTCAATGAGATCCAAGAGAAAATGGAAAACCAACTCAAAGAAATTGAAAAATAATCCAGTAAATGAATGAAAAATTTACTAAAGAGATAGATATATTAACAAAAAATGCAACAGAACTTCTGAAAATGAAAAATTCATTTAGGGAAATATAAAACACAGTGGAAAGTTTTAGCGAAAGACTAGACCAAACAGAAGTAAGAAATTAGAGCTTGAAGAGTAGTCTTTCAAAGTAACCCTGTCAGTCAAAAATAAAGAAAAAAAAATTAAAAGACATGAAGAAAGACTCCCAGAAATATGGGATTGTGTAAAATGCCCAAACATAAGAATCATAGATATCACTGAAGGAGGAGAAGAAAAAGCAAGAAGCTCAGAAAGTGTAATTAAGTGAATAATTAAGGAAAACTAAATCTATTGAAATAAAAAAAATAGAAATAAAAATCACTCTATTCAATTCTATTTAAACTTGTCTAGAAAATGTGATGCTTATTACATTTATAATTTATTGAGGGTCAACCAAAGGTATGCTAAGTCCTGTGTTAAGCACTTTTATATCTATCATATCTTTTTATCTTCACAACAAACTTATGAGGTGAGCACCATAATTATCCTTATCTTACAGAGTGTGTAGCTGAAACATAACCAGGCTAATTAACTGGCCCAATTACTCAGATAGGAAACTAAGACTTCAATAGCTTGAGAGATTCCCAAGTTCATATATTTAATCTAATGGAACTGGAACTCCAATCAGGGCAAATGGACCTCAGAGCCCATACTTTAATAGTTGTACTATTCTATTAATAACTCTGATTCATTTATGAATTATTAAGAAAGATCAGGTTAGGATATGTTAAGCCTCAACTGTTCAGTTATTCAGTGGAATAAAACAGCATGTGCAACAAACTTACAAATGTCAGTTGTAATAATATTGCTTGATAAGGTAAAAAAGATAAGATATTCTCTACCTCTTGCTTTATCTGGTTATATTTTGTTATTCCTTTAAAATTGCTTATTGCAGTGTATTAATTCACATATGAGTGACTTGTCCTTTGATATTCTGACCATCTTATAATTTTATAGAAATCTTGCTTGACCCTGGACAAATATGTGAAGACTACATTGAATCCTTACTTAATTAATGTCACCCTAGCAGCCAAAATGTGCAGCCAAGTGATTTGCCAGGAGCAAGGTGTGTGTACAAGGAAAAACTGGAATTCAAGTGACTATCTTCACCTGAACCCAGCAAATTTTGATATTCAAATTCGGAAAAGTGGAAAGTACAAAGTACGTGGAAAACCCTCCCTTCAAGACCTGCAGCAACTTTCTGAAAAATTTAATTGCAGCTGTTATCCCACCTTGAGTTGTAAAGAGAGAACTGATATAAAAGACATTAATGCTATTGATGTGTGTGTTGCTGAGGATGTTTGTATAGATGTCTCTGTAAACTTAGAACCCCACTATCAACCTTCTCCGAAGAAAAATGTAACTTTCCGGCTTGTCTCATCATCTCCGTCATCTGCTACAGTGTTCTTTGTTAATATTTTATTTCTCACCATGAGTTCTTCTTTAGTGAAGTGAATTTGTAATTCTATCTGTTAGCTAAAATGAACAATATGTCCATTTTACAGTGTGCTCTTTGGACGAATTAAATGCCTGAAAACAACATGTCTCACTGAAAGGTCCTTTTGGAAAGTTCTTTCTATACCTAGTGAATGGTGGTTTTCTTTCAACTTGACAAATACTGCAATCTAGCATGAATTCTCTACCATGAGTTCAATTGGTAGTCCAGTACTCAACAGCTTGCATATCAGTATTCTCTCCAGCTTAGAGTATACAAATTACATACAAATCACATTATCTCCTTCACTTATAAAACCACCAGGATTGTTTAAACACAATCAGCACAAGATGCTGACATTTTGATGACATTACAATTTGACATGGGTTGTTGAGAACTTGAAAGTGAAAACCCATCAGTAAGATTTACAGATCCTGCTTATTTCTCTTTTCTCCTTGGCTTACAATTGAGAGAGAAGGAAAGAGAATGGGTAGGAAAGAAGAAAACAAAAGGAGGGAAGAGAGAAGCAAAAGAACTAGAATTCTTTTTTTTCTTTGGTGCCATTAAGGACTCTAATTTGCACATGATTGAAAGGAACATTTGTTGCATACACAGTTACCTTTCAACCCACTGTTAAAACCAAGAGCGGTTGTATTAATAGTTGAATGCTTTACCAGGTCTGAGCCTTACAAATGTTACTGCCACCTCCTTCCACTTCCATTTCCCCAGCCTTCCTTTTAAAAATAAGAAATGAAGCCACAAAGCAGATTAGGATATGCCAAATCTGCAGTCATCTAGGTACTCACACATTGTGGTACAATTAAAGTCACTAAGATCTTAAACTCTTTGATCATTAAATTTCCTGTGAGGAAAAAGGAAAACATTTTGCTTGTTATAGTCCTCATTTCTTTACACTTAAGTTTTGTTTAGTATCTCAGTTGAGATGAAGCTGAAAAAAGCAATAAAATGATTAAAATTATTATTATACATTTTAAACTCCATCAATTTTTTAAAAAAACACTTGTTCTGTCAGCATCTGTTTGAAAGAAAAAATTAAAACATTTGTATAGTCTTATACATTATGTTAGTTTAAATATTTTAAATCTTTTTTCTCTTTTATTTTTAGTTGACATGTAATAATTGTATATATTTATGGGGTACAGACTGATATTTTGATATATGTTTACTATGTATAACTATCAAATCAGGGTAATTAGGATATCTGTTGCCTCAAATATTTATGATTTCTTTGTGTTGGGAACATTTGAAAATTCTCTCTTCTAGCTTTTATAACATATACAATAAGTTATTGATAACCATATTCACTCATCAGTGCTACAGAACACTAGAACTTATTCCTGCCGTCCAGGTATCATTTTGTATCTATTAAGCAACCCTCTCTATTCTCCCCATTCTTTTTTAAGGCTGAAATATATTCTGTTGTGTACACATACCATATTTTCTTTATCCATTCATCTGTTGATGAACATTTAGGTTGATTCCATATCTTGGCTATTTTGAATAGTGCTGCAGTTAACAGATATTCTTTGATATATTCATTTCCTTTCCTTTGGATAAGTACCCAGTAGTAGGATTGATGAATCTCTCTATTTTTAGTTTGCTGAGAAATCTCCATATATTTTTCCACATGGCTATACTAATTCACATTCCCACCAATAGCATTTAAGAGTTCCCTTTTGCCTGTATCCTCACTAGCATTTATTATTTTTTGTCTTTTTGATAATAGCCATTCTACTAGAATGATATCTCATTCTGGTATTGATTTGAATTTCCCTCATGATTAATGATGTTGTGCATCTTTTCACACATTTATAGGCCTTCTGTATATCTTCCTTTGAGAAATGTCTATTCATACCCTTTGTCCATTTAAAATTTTTTTTTTTTACTCGAGTTATTTGAGTTTCTTGTATATTCTGGGTATTAGTCCTTTGTCTGATGAATAGTTTGAAGATATTTTCTCTGATTCTATAGGTTGTCGATTGTTTTTCCCTTCTTGTGCAGAAGCTTTTTAGTTTGATATAATTCCATTTGTCTATTTGTGTTTTTGTTGCCCGTGCTTTTATAGTCTTACCCATGAAATTTTTCCCTGGACCAATGTCCTGCAGCATTTTTCCTGTATTTTCTTCTAGTAGTTTTATAGTTTTAGGTCTTAACATTTTAGTCGTTAATCCATTTTGAGTTGTAAAATATTTTTATTCTTATAATGTCATTGCTGCTCATGGTAAAAATAATAGAAGGTGGAAAATTAAAAGTCCCCTTCTGTCCTCCTTCTACCAGTTATAACTCTTGGTTACAGTTTCTTGTATATAATTTCAGAATTTTCCTAAGAATATGTAATGAAATTTGTGTGTATATATTGAATACAAATTGGTCTATGGTGTTTAAAATTTTCTATAGCTTGATCTTCTCACCAGACAATATATTTTTGGTGTCTCTTCATATCAGTATATCTTTTTACTGACCACATCATAATCCACTGTATCACTATAAGATAATTTTTAATAAATTTTTTGTTAATGGACATTTCATTTTTTGAGATTTTTTTTCTCTATTAAAAATTTGAGGCTAGGCACAGTGGCTCACACTTGTAATTCTAGCACCCTGGGAGGCGTAGGTGGGAGGATCACTTGAGGTCAGGAGTTTGAGACCAGCCTGAGCAAGAGCGAGAGCTGGAGCCAAATTAGTAATATCTATAATGGAATTCTATTCCCAAGAATAGACCGATTTGAAAAATGAAACTAGAGGAAACTTCACCTCTAGCACTTTCTCTCCAAAATGTCAACATAAGATACCATATTGTGCTCTGACTTAGTAGCTTGGGGGTGACAGTGGGTACAGAAGCTGAGGCAGGTCAAGCCGAGGTAGAGAGGGGATGTTGCTTGGGACCTTGGTCAAGTTGATCCATTCGAAATACAAAGCCAAAAAGCAAGAGTAGAAGAAATGGGGTCAGAGCAGGAAACTGAGGAAAAAGTTTGTTGGGCCAGATTTAGGAAAATCTTTATGAAAAAAAAATGAAGAAGGGGTAGAACAAGATGGCTGAATAGAAACCTCCAATGATTGTTGCTCTGCACAAAAGCCAAATTGAATAACTACCCATACAAGCAAGCACCTTTAGAAGAATAAAAAATTAGACAAAGAATTTAAAATAGTTGTCCTGAAGAAACTCAATGAACTTCAAGACAACATAGAGAAGGAAGTCAAAAGCCTATCCAAGAAATGTAACAGAGAGATTGACACAATAAAAAAAAAAAAAGCAGAAATTCTGCAACTTAAGAATTCAATTGACAAACTGAGAAATGAATCAGAGTGTCTCAACAGCAGAATTGAGTAAGCAGAAGAAAGAATTAGTGAGCTTGAAGACAGGCTATTTGAAAATACAGTCAGAAGAGAAAAGGAGAAAAGCGAAGCAACCTTACAAGGTCTGGAAAAGAGCCTTAAAGGGGTAAATTTAAGAGTTATTTGCCTTACAGAGGAGGTAGAGAGAGAGATTGGAGTAGAAAGTTTATTAAAAGAAATAATAACAGAGAATTTTCCAAATGTAGAGAAAGATATCAATATTTCCATACAAGAAGGCCATGCGACACAAAGCAGATTTGTGTTAAATATCCACTGATGGATATTTAAGTTGTTTTCATCTCTTGGATACTGTGACTAATGCAATGGGCGTACAGATATCTCTTTGAGATACCGATCCACACAGCGCATTTCATATTGCTGAGGGGCCTCTTTAGAGTAACATTTGGCTAATGGCTACCTTCTTTGTTGGCTGATACACTTCTATTTTGAAGCCTTCTGTTTTATATATTTTTATGTATCTGTCAGTCTCAAATAGGATGTAGTAGTACTGTTTAAGTCTGTTCAGGCTGTTATAACAAAATATGGTAAACAGGGGTATTAAACAACAGAAATTTATTTCCCATAGTTCTGGAGTCCAGAATGTCCAAGGTCAAGTTGGCAGCAGACTTACTGTCTGGTGAGGGCCCTCTTTCTGTTCATAGATGGCACCTTCTAGCTGTGTCTTCGCATGGTGGGAGGGATAAGGCCACTTTCTGGGGCTTTTTTAAAATAAAGACCTTAATCCTGTTCATAGGGGCTCTGCTTTCTGACCTAATCACCTCTCAAAAGGCTCACTTTCTAACATCATCACCTTTGAGGTTAGGATTTCAACACATGAATTTTGGGGGTACATAAGTGCTCAGACAATAGCAGGCATGTAATCCCTACAAAAGTGAGATTTTAAAAAGTTGCATTTTAAAAGTTGCATAGTCTTTTAAACATTTTAACTGCTTATTTTAAATTTTTATGATCAGAACAGACTTAGAATATAATTGCTATTGAAAGCTTAATATTAGAAAATTAACCAGGTAAAAACCAACTCTGAAGGAAAGTTACAATTCATCAAATTGCTCTTGATTAGTTTATGTTATAAAAGCAAGGCAGACAAAAAAATAAGGGTAACAAATTTTACAAAAGTTAAAAAGACCACCCGATTAACTTGTTAGTTACTTGTTAGTTAAAAAATAAGAAAAATTTTATCTGGGATAGTATTAGTTTACTAATAACTATTCTCCATAACCAGAAATGTGTAGATTCATGCTAAGTAATTATTTTTAGCTGAAATTTAATGATTCTTTTGGATCATCTTCAGCTTGCAACTCTATTAGTTCACAATAAGCTCTTGATTATTATTTGATGTGTTTTCTTTTATCCTTTTAAATAATTGTCTTACTGAAGTCAAGCATACACACAGGAAAAGTGTATAAATTATACACCTACAGTTTAAAGCACTTTCACATTGAAATCCCTGTATTCTTTCCCAGTTATCACCCTTTCCATGAAATGTAATTATTGTCTGCCTTCAAAGTATCACTGTAGATTTTTTTGTTTTATAAAATTATATAAATAAATAATGCAATGTACATTCTTTTGTGCCTACCTTTCCCCCTTCGACTTTATTTTTGTGAGATTTATTCATGTGGTTTTGTAGTCTGGGGGTGGGGAAAAACTTCCCATTTCCTTTAAAAGTTCACTACCAACTCACAATTAAGGCAGATTAATAAGAGGAAGAGGTTTAATACCATGTGCCTGTGGAG